GTGCAAATCAAGTTGCTGCAATGAGATTGCTTTCAACTACACTTTCAGATGAGTTGCAAATTGATTTTAAAATTATTAGATGTGGTGCTCACTCAATTGCTCTTGTAGTTAATGCTGGTTTGGGAAAATTTAAACCTATTATTGATAAAGTACGAGCTTTTATTATAGAAGTAAGCAAATCACCAAAAAAGGAACAGGAATTAATTACTTTTGCAACAAATTTAAATGTCAAATATAAAAAATTAATTAGAGATGTCAAGACTAGATGGAATAGTACGTTTTTAATGTTAGAATCCTTTCTTAACAATAAAGCAGTAATTGTTTCATTAATTTCTATTGGTAGTAATTTTGCAAAATTAGATTTAAATGATGATGAATGGAAAGAACTCCAACTTTTTTGTGATTTTTTAAAACCATTTTTTGAATTTACTGAAGAAATGTCAGGCTCTAAATATCCTACTTTTGGAACTTTACTTCTTTTATTAGATAATTTATTGGAACATATAACAATAATTAAAAATGATACATCTATACCAAAATGGATAAAAGGAATTGCTAAAGAAATGCAAGAGAAATTTCGTTGTATTTCAGTTAATCTTTACAATTCAACAGCTACTTTAGCTTTAGTATTGGATCCTCGATATAAAACACAAATTCTTCCTAATAGTGTAAGTGTAGAAGATGCAAAGCAATTACTTTTAGAAAAATTCAATAGTTATCAAAATATGGAACAAACTCTTATTGCTGATGATGAAAATGAAATTAAAGAAGATAATGTAGAAGATAAGAGAAAAACATCAGGAATCTTAAGCCGTATGATTCAAAAAAAAAGAAAGTTTAATAATTTACAATCTCGAAATGAAATAATGGAATATTTGGCAATTCCTGTAGAACCTATAGATATAGATCCATGTAAATGGTAGAAACACCATAAAGTGCAATATCCACTTCTAGAGAAGATAGCACGTGATTATATTTGTATTCCAGCTACTTCTGTTACAAGTGAACAAGCCTTTTCAAAATCAGGTGAATTGGTTAGTAAAAAAAGAAATAGATTAGGTGATCGTGCAATTGAAGCTTGCATGTGTTTAAATTCATGGATAAAGTTGTTGAATAATTAGGTTTAATATTTTTTTCTATTTCTATCTTTTAAATATAATAATATGTATAAATATAGGTATATAACTAATAAAATTAATATAAAAATATAAATCTAAAATTAAAATACATAAAAAATATAATAAATTTATTATCAACCCCATCAGTCCCATCAGCTTCGTGGTTCGGTTTGACTTGAGTTAAGCTGTTGACCCCATTGACCCCATTGACTCCATCGGTTCCATCAGCTTCACGGTTTGGTTTGGTTTGGTTTGACTTGAACTTTTAAGTTGATGGAGTCCGGTTCGGTTTGGCTTGACTTTTTATTAATCCAGCTTGACTTGAGTTTTAAGTCGGACCAAACTGGACCGTTAGCATCACTAGGTGGATGTTCATTTTTCCTGTTACTTTACTGCTAATATTATTAACATCTTTCTTTTTTTAGGTTTTATTTCATTTTGGAGGCTCTTGTGAAATTGGAGGTAGTACTTTTTTTTATTATTTTGTTGTATTTTTTTTTCGTTTGTGGTGTTAACGTTAAATTTTCTTTTCTTTTTAGATTTTTTATTTGTTTCAGCTTTTGAATTTGTTAGATTTTGGTAGGAGAGGGTTCTTTTTAATTTTAACGAACATTTTTTAATGTTTCATTCATTCTTATTTATTAGACGGGTAAGTCAGAACTCAGCAATTTTGATCTGAAGCTTTATCTTCTGTAAGATTTTTCTTAATCTTTATTTAACAAAATTTTTTACATTTTCTTTTTTTTTAGGAGACCGGTTCTTCTGAACTTTAGGCGCCTGGAATTTCACATGTGGGTTTTTTCTTTAATTCTTTATTTAATGAAACATTTTATTAACATTTTGTTCGTTTTTTTTTTTAGGCTTTTTTTAGGATTCTGACTCCAATCTCTGGAGAAACTGAATATTCTGGTACTAAGTTATTGTACCAATAACTTCTTATTATTAAAGAATTTAATTATTATTTCTATTTTGTAGAAACTCCACCTTTGATTTTTGGGTTATGGATGGATTTCTTAATAAGTTTTAGATCACTTTCGAAATTTCTTTCAAAAAAATTTATTAACTACTACTTGGCTCTGATTTATCACCAGTTGAATCCTTGGAAATAGCTTCAAAAAAACTTATTTTAATTTTATAAAAACTTGGCTCTACTGGAACCTAAGTAAGTTTTCAGAAACTTTTTGAAACTATTTTAAAAGTGCTAAGTTTGACTTTTTTTAATTTTTGTAGGATTCATACTTCTATTTTTGGGTTACGAGCAGATCTGATAAGTCTAGTATTAGATCATACTGCATAGGGGTTGAAATATTAGACAGCCGGACCAATACATGGTAAGATTTGGTCTCTTTTAATCTTTTAATCTACTTTCAAAATTTATTTTTGTAATGATAACGTATCTATTTTTTTTTGTAGGCTTCTAGGTTTCAGATTTGACGGGACATTAGATGGTAAGTTTCAAAATTAACCTTTATTTTTTGATTTTTATTTTTGTTTTATTGGGAACGTGTTTAACTACATTCTATTATTTTCTATCTTATAGGTTCTGGCTGGTTTCAAACTTGTACCTAGTAAAAATTGAAATGGTAAGTTTTGCATAATATAACCTACCATTTACATTTTAATTACTACAAATATTAATGTTCCTTTTATTTTTCTTTTTATAGGTCCCAATCTTTTTAAATTGCTTCGTTTGAATACTATTTCTTTAATGAGATGTTGTGACGGGCTGTTCACCACCGCAAGATGCTGCCACCATCTTGGTCACAAGGGTAAAGGTTAGTAGGGTTAATAATACATATACCAAAGGAAAAATAGATTTGAGCTTGGTTTAGTGGGTTTGGTTATAGTAAACTATAGCTGTAAATATTCGAGCATAGTTTCCCGTTCGATTGAGATTCAATATTTATATTAGTTCGTTTAATGTTCGATAGAGATATTAACATTATAGATTTAATGTTAAAGTTTGAGTCTTATAATAAGACATTTAAGTTTGGTATTATATAAGTTTGGTTTTCTTATCTTAAGATAATACACTGTTCGTATACTTTATTGTTCGATGTTTATGTAAGTTCGTAAAGTTCAATATTATGGTTCGATATTAACATAGGTTCGTTTGTTTTATATTATCAACATACTTCAAATTTTATAAGTTCGTTATCATTATTTATTGTTCGTCATTTATACATATAACATATAGTTACAAAGTTCGGTGCATAGTTTCCTTACGCACTTAATTTATTTCAGTATTAAATTTTTAACTTTATTATTTTTCTTAGAAAAATACATAAAGAATTCAGTTCGTTACGAGACTAAATTTCTAAGTGTTGAAACTCGGAAAAAGTCTTCCCTAAAATCAAGAGGAAAATTTGAGTTATTTTATACCAGTTGGGGTTTCACTAATTTCTATGTGATACTAAAATATTATTGGTATTTCTAAGTTACAATTGTTTATGCTTCACTAAATGTTTATCTATGACTCATATTCTTGACTGTACTACTATTCAGTTAAATGATCTTCTTGTATTACTATCTGGTTAATTGATTGTCAAGTCAGATGATTTCCATGCTGATCGTTAGGTCCTTGATTGATCGTCTGGTCGGGTACTTCTTGTCGATCATCCGGTTAAATGATTATCCTGTTTATGTAATCGTTATTATTATTTGAAGTCACATGATTGTTACTTCTTCATTAGTTCGGTTTTGGTTTGCCTACCACTTTTGTGGTTAATTATACGTTAAGGTGTATTCTGGCACTACAATGTCAATTATTGAAACATTTACTAACTAATTTTAAATTTAGACACTTTATACATTTTACAAGGAATTTTAACAATGTATAATTTAATAGGTGCAATGTAATATAGTAGTGTTATTTACTTTATTAAATATGTGATTAAAGTATGTTTACAACATTGTAAATAATAAATAACTGTATTTTGACTGTATATTCGCAATAGTAAAATAAGTATAGTGAAATCGTTGTTACAGTAAATTAAAGAAGCATAGTGGCGATGCATTTTCTCACTTTTACAATGCGTCGTATGACGTTTAATAATGACGCACAAAATGATGGCTTAATCATGTGATTTTGGTGTAGTAACAACGTTGTTTGAAAACATGATGTTTCTGCAATGTAGTGCTTTATGTATCTTATAACTTTAGTTGTATTAGGAAATAGTAACCACTCTTTAGAATAAAATAAATAAATAAATATTTTTATAATATTACATTTTTCATCATTTTAAGTTTACACGAAAATAAATACTTTCGATAGATGATAAAAGTGCTAAGTTCAGATGCACTTATTCCATCAGCAGATACAACAAAAAAATGATACATTTAAAAAGTTTTAAGTGGAACAAATAAAAATGAAGAAATTATTTTCAAGTTATTTAAATATACGTGTAAAATAATTTTTAATAAATTAAATTATATCAAATTATTTAATTATTTAATAGAGTCAGATATCTTCAGGATAAATTACTGGATTCTATAATGCTTGAAAATTTGTTAAAGAAATAAATCGCACTCTATTTAAAAGAAATTATTATCTTATCAAGAAAAAAAATACCTTTTTTTTTGAAAACCAACAAAGGGAATACCAACTCACTGTGGAATAAAAAAAAACCAATAAATAATACGCATGTGTGATTATTCTATAGCAGTGATCATCACATTCCTTTGGCCGCTCCTAGAATTATTATAATTTCAGCCAGAGTTATAAATTGCAATATACATGTCATGTGATGGCCAAACGGCCTAAATTATTTCTCCCATTTTTCTAAAAACTGGGACTACGTTGAATGAATAATTGATAATATACAAGTTGGAGTATCCAAATCATACATAACAAAACAAATTAATTTTTAAACAAATAATGGATTTCAATATGGAGAATTAAAGTGTAACTTTCAAATAAATAATTAATTTCAATATTGGAAATACGATACTCACTCTTTTTTATTTTAAAATCTCATCTTATCATACAAACCGAAAAATGTTTTTATTTACTTATTACTATGCACCCAATATTGTTAAATATTAAAAGAAAAAGTTTACTTCAGCAGTCCGGTGAAAACTATCAATTGTTATGATATTCACGTAAAATTAACGTAAATATCCAAATCATCTAACTCACAATTACATTAGCTGGACCACAATAACCGGTCTATATCAATTTAATTTTGTAGAATAGTCCATAATCTAATTTAAATATATGTATTAATAATTATCGTTCAGCCAAATAGGATCATGCAGATTTTCATAGACTGATATTTTTATTAGCCATAGCAATAACACAATATTGATATAATAAAGTGGAGTAAAAAAATGGCGTAAATGAATATTCTGTAGGAAAAGTTTAAATAAAGCTTATAAAAATGAAATTTATAGAAAGCTTATTTATGATGTTATTAATTAATACATGATCAAAAATGTCAGAACGATAACACTTTTATTGGATGTGGGGCTATATCGGTCACAGGGCCCTTCATTGATTGGCGAAAATGGCCACTATGTGCCCATTTTCATCCAATCATTCGGTCCTGTGACCGATATAGCTACTCTCCCATCCAATAATATGTATATACAAATTCTATTCTTGCAATATATTTTAGGATTATTTTATAAATACAATTGTTATTTGTTATATCAATCAATTTCTTAAAATCCTAATCCTGATCATCAATCAATCCGTTGACAAATTGAAACTATATAATTTCTAAATATATCAATTTTCCTTGAAACGCCTCATCATACTTTATACTCATTAACTTCGCAAGATTTAAGATGATTTGTAAGATATTTTCTTTCTGCTGAAAATCATTTTGGATTCATGTTTATTTATTAGAAACTCTATTATTAGCCTTTTATAGTTATAAGTTATTGTGCTTTGACGGCCAAATCTTTACCAATCATCTGCTATAATTGGTTAATAATTATGATATTTATCAACGCAAAGCACAATAACGATATTATCGTGTGACCCATTGACTTTAGCTTAATTATAGTTTAACGTTAATTATAGCTTATTTTTGTTTTTTTAAAAATAACAAAATTATCGGCAATTATATTCAGTATATGGAGCACGATAATTTTATTTATAAAAAAAAATAGTTAATAGTAATTAATATGATAAGTAAAAGGTCGGTAATTTAAGACAATTATTATTAAGCTACTTCTTATCTTTACATCATTTTTATAATCAGTATAGTAATTAAACTTTACAGTGGCTTATAATAAACTAAATCATATAAAATAAATTACATGATCCAAATATTAGTGATTTAAAAAAACTTTATTGTTTTTTCTTATAAAGAAGGTCTACATTTAAGAAAATATTGTAAAATAGTTTATACTTGTGCAACTCAAGAAAATCAAGAAGCTCAAGGCAGGGCCGATGATATTCGGCATTTCACAGAAATTCACATAACTCACAAAATTATGTGATAAACACATTTATTACTCCTGATCACCGCATAATATCACAAAATTCTCAGGGGTTATATATAAAATCACAAAAAAATATTTTTCGATAATCAAAATCTCTTTTTCACTTTAAAAATGTCATTTAGAAAACACACTAAAACTAATAAAGCTAATGCTGTAACAATTTATACAAGAATTAAAGAACATCCAGATGTTTTTTGTGTTGAAAATAGTCTTTTGTTTTGTAATTATTGCGACCTTTCTGTGGAATGGAGACATAAGTCAACAGTAGATTCTCATTGTTTAGGAAAAAAGCACATAGCGCAAAAAAAAATCTATGAAGCTAATAAAAACAAAAAAAATCAGCAAAGTTTAGAAACAACTTTACTTGCAGCTGAATCCAAAAAAGAAGTTGTAGAAAGTTTAATTCAAGCATTTGCAAATGCAAATATTCCACTAGAAAAAATTAATTATATCCTCCCTTTTTTTAAAAAATATCTTAAAGAAGGAGGAGCAATTCCTCAAGCTCCAACATTACGTCAATTGTATTTGCCTTCTGTTTTTGAAAATCATACAAAAACTCTCCTTTCAATTTTTAATTCAAAACCTGTTTGTATTATAATGGATGAGCTTAGTGATGATAATTTGTGCACGTAGTGTTGTTAATACACTTTTTGCTTATCGATAAGATACAAAACTGGTTTCTGTTAATTTTTTACAACGGGTTAACAACACAACTATTGGACAAACACTTCTACCCATTTTACATTCTTACAATATATCTCTTAATATTCCACGTTTATTTTTATCTGATTCAGCCGCGTATATGAAAAAATGTTATCGCAAAGTTTTAAAGCCAGTTATGCCTCAATTAATTCATGTGCCATGCCCAGCACATATTTTAAATCTCATTGGGTAAGGAATTGCATAATTTTTTTAATTAAAAATGAGTTACATATTAGCGAACTTTATAATGAATATTTTTAATGTAATTAGAGAAACCTGGAGAGATTTCTAACAATTTTTACCATTAAAGACTTTTTTAGCTAAAATCAAGGAATCATTTGTCAAATCACCTGCACGAAGGAAACGTTATATAACTCATCTTAAAATGAATGGCATTAATTCTCCTCGCAAAATTCCACTTCCAAATCAAACGCAATGGAATAGTTGGTTTAGAATAGTTTTTTATGCAAAAAATCACATCCAGTATTGGGCTGATTTTTTTAGACGCGAATATGAAGAAGAATCACAAAATGAAACAGTAAAAACTATTTACACAACATTACAAAATTTACGAGATACTGGCATCATTACAATTTATATTTACTTTATTTCAATTTTTGCCAAAGAGTTTGTACAGGATTTGGATTTTTTTCAACAACAAAACAAACCAGTTTTTCCTTTTGTTGAAGGCCGATTACAGCAACTTACAGCATTTATTGAATCAAATATTACTGCACCTTATTTTGGTTCTGAAATTGAAAACATAATTCAACAACATTTATTTAACCCTGATGATTTTTACCCAATATTTCGTCAAGCTTTTCAAGTAGCACATGACAAATTTTCAGCTCACATTCCTAATCATCCTGCAAGATCACTTTTTAATGCATGTCAGGTTTTTAACCCACAATATATTCATTTAGGAAATATTCAAAGAAAGGATATTCGTAATTATTCAGCAATTATGGAACTTGATAATCCTTCTAACAGTCTATTATGTGAATGGGCAGTATATTGTGGGTTGGAATTTAATGAAAATTTGGATGAAACTAATTTAGGTGATTATTGGAAAAGTTTATCAGTTCATTTGCAAATTCTTTCTAGCATTGCATTAGACTATATTTGGTTACCAATTTCAAGCTGTGCAGTGGAACATAGTTTTTCTTTATATAATACACTTTTAGATTCTAATCGTCAAAGTTTATCTGAAGAGTCATTAAAACAACTTAATATGTTGTATTTTAATTGATCAATTACAAATAGATAAAGAAATAAATGAAATAA